TTTATTTGTGTTTTATTATGTACGTTTTTGCGTAATCATTTGTTTTGTAGTGACCGAAACTTTTGTCCAGGGAGTGTATATGCGGTGAAACTTTTAGATTGTAGTAACTGAATCAACATTGTACCTTGCTTGATGATAGTAATTAATCTTATTAAAAAAAGTTTTTTTTTATATTGAACTTTAGAGGTTGTATTTTTTATAATAAGGTATATATATATATATATGAAGAACCTCAAGCAAGATCAACAAACATGTCTGACTAAATGTGACGGATTTAAATTTACTAAATTGTATTGTATGTAATATTAATATTTGATTGATTTTTTAAATAAATTCAGTTACTACTCGTATTGCGAGAGCATGCACATGGAATTGATGGACACAACAAAAAGTACATAGAATTTTATATCAGGAGATATCGGGAAAAGTATAAACAAAAAAGTAAAAAGTTCGAAAAATTGGCCAAGTCAATCTCCTGATTTGAATCCAATAGAGCATCTGTGGAATCAATTAGAAATTCGTATTCGGAAACGTCCAATAAAAACAAAAAGGAAGTCATATAAAATAATTATTTAGTTTGAGTTTATATCTGTTAACACACATTATCATTATCATTATTAATTGTATAAAATATGAAATTGGAGTATGGTGGAATCGGCAAGATAAAGGAATGAGAAGATAACAGAATAATTGTTTTTTGCACAATCAATTGATTGAAATTAAAAAGTGGGTGTAATTCAAGATAAAGCGTGTGATGATGGGCTTGCTGTCAAACAATCAAATGAAATTTCCATTTTAATCTTTTAAAGTCCAGTTTTTTTTTTTGATATGGAAAACGCTTTTTCTCACTATCTTTTTAATAGGTGTGACGTGGAAAGTTCTTTATTTTTGTCTCACCGTTTTTCCATAAGTTGTAATATTTTTTGATTTGCCTAAAACCATCAGAATTTTAACCATAAGGAAAAGTATATTATTTGGTTGTACAAAACGGTCAAAAATAATCTGGAATGATATTTTTTTTAAAAGTCCATCAAATTACTTTTTTTGTTTTTAAAGTTTCAAATGTATTTCATATTATTTGTTGTACGGTTGTGTACGGAATATTTTTTTTAAACAGTTTTATATGTTTATATAAAAAAAAAATTTTTTTTAAAAAAATTATAATGATAATAATTTTTTTAAAAAAAAAACTATAATGATAATAATTTTTTTAAAAAAAAAACTAATGATAATAATTTTTTTAAAAAAAAACTATATAAATATGGATTTCTTTTTTGATTTTTTAATGATTTTTTAAAAATTTGAAAAGTTTGAATCAAAAAAAAAATTTTTTTAAAAATTAAATTAATTAATAATTATAATAATAAAAACAAAACCAATTTGACAAATACATTAGATTTTATAAACATAT